TCAATTTTTTTCCCATTTTTCCACCATTTCTCTCCGCCGCTCTTCTCCGTACTTTTTCGGACAATTAATTTCTTTAACCAAAAATTACGATTCCCTCCCTCTATTTTTCATAATATCGTATCGATGATAATACGTGATAAACGAGTTGTTAATTTTGAGAATCAATATTATATAAAAGTCGAATTATTTTTATATCACGATACAGACGATTCAAAAGGTGGCGATGTCAAGATTTTTTTAAATAGCGATAAAAGTAGGGGAGTTTTAAGTTTCGAGCCCAACTTTTCCATATCGGTATGCATTTTAAATCGACGAGAACGGGCCGATGTCAGCTCGAGTACTCTTGCTTTTCGATACTCCACAGTTGGCGGCGGACCACATTCCGCCCGGATACGTTCGCGCTCTCGGAATTCGGCGGTGAATAGCCAGGAATTTACAGGAAGATTGCTCTTTCCACGTATCTCTCTTTTACTCCCGAGAGACGGCCGGGAGAATTCTATAAAAGCCGCGCCAAAACACCCCCCCATTGACTTTTCGCTTTGCGCCTCGTGTTCTAATAACCCACTGTACTTTTCCATTAACATCCAATTTCCCGAATGGAAAATGGAATTCGTGAAAACTAGTTTGATGACCGAGTGCTTTAAACTTGCTCCACTTAACTTTCATTATATTTTGGGGATATAAATTCTGTTTAAAAGTTAACGTTTGTAATCGATGCGAGGCTGAATCATCTCGACCATGCTCTATCATAGATCTGACGAATTAGACCACGGATTTTTCTTTTATATATAAATGATACGTATATTAATTACACGTGATAAGATATTCGAAAAATTTAAGGGGAAAGTTAACCCCTGTTTATTAAACTCTGTTAAAAATCTGTAAAAAACTTTGAATCGTTATAACTCTGAAATTACTTCCGGTCAACGAATGAACGATCATCACGGATGCTTTGTGCTCTTTAAAACGCATTTCGATTTATCTCAATACGACTTTAGCTTCCCGAGATACGATCGTGTAAAGGAAAGGAAAATAATTTTTGTTAAATATTCAATAAATTCGATCGAAAACCTTATTAAAATTAGGAAAATCTTTGTACCGCTACAACTTCAAAGATAATTAGTTCCGGTCAACGAGCGAACGATCATTGGAAGCGCGGCACCTTTCCCTTTAAAACGCTCTCAGATTTATCCCGATACGACTTTCGGTTGCCGAGAGATCGTCGTGCGAAGAAATTTTTAATCGTTTACCACCTTCGTCCTTGTTGCTCGTTCGTTCGCCTCCCCAAAACCGACCTATCCCAAATGTCAGACGCAATTCCTGGAAGTAGTACGTACTTCCAGGAAAATATGTAGGTCGGTGAGTTGTGCAGTTCATTCATAATCTCCGTCCAGTCTTAAGTATATGGAAACTTTGAGCCTTTATATCTCGGCAACCGATTAAGTTATCGGAATAAATCAAAAATTGACTTCAATGGCATACTCTCCTCTATTTTCTGAATGGATTTTAACGACAAAATTTTAACTTTCCTTTTCCCCATATAAAAAGAATTTATACTTTGTTACATACGCAATTAAAAAAAAAATTAAATTGTAAAAATCTATAATTTAAAAATCCGCAGTCTAATGTGTAATGTTTTAAAGTATTTCTATTTAGTTCGATCATCTTTGACGTTTTTAATATTTGATCAAAACACAATACAAGTTAGTATATGCAATTTTGATTATATTCAATCAAAGTTAAGTTGCTGTGCTTCGATTGTTTAAGAAAAAGAAAATAAATAAATAAAATAAGATCACGTTTGATTGAGAATCGCAAACAAGCGTTTGTACGAATTTTGATTGATATTATTTTGATTAATATTTTAACAACCGATCGAAATGTTAATTCTAACTAAAATTTTGAATCGACGTACGATGACGTATATTTATATCTAATAATAACAGGGAATGAAAAGAGGATGATAATTCGAAAGGTGAGCAAAGATTTTAATTACCCTGTTTCGCGCAATTGCCCTGATAAAAGATAAACCGATCCACCTTTAATTATCATTACGAAACGTAACGATCTGCTGAGAAAATGGAACACGGAAAAGAAAATGGAATTTTTCCGCATAGTTACGTGCTCACCCTTTCTCGCGTACAACCACGTTGTTTCCTCTCCTCGAGGATGGACCGTTTAAATTAACCCTTTGGATATTAATTTCTCCGATCAGGTATCCACGATTCGTTAGCGAATTAAATGCACATGCGTTAATTTTGACCAGGTTCACCACGATTGTCGCGCGGCTTATTATTCCCCTTTATCCTTTTTTCCTTTTACGATTTAAGGCGATGCGGGGGGATCCTCAGAGCTGACATAATGCGTGCATTACGTGGATGGTGGTTAGTTTGTCTTCTTTCTTTGTTAGTATCTGAAATTAGTAAACAGAAACACAATACAAGTTAGTATATGCGATATTGATTACATTCAATCAAACTTAAGTTGTTTCTTCGATTGTTTAAAAAATAAAATAAAATAAAATAAGATCACGTTTGATCGAAAATTAAATGAAACGCGTTATATTGATTGTATTTGTTACAAGAATCGACGAAAGATTTTAAGAAGATACGTGTTCCTTATTCGCGTGTAACACAATTTATCGTCCATAAGATAAAGTCGGGGTCAGAGAGCTCGTGAAAAGCACCACTAGGGCGAAGAAGAACGTCTTCAAGATCACTTGAAGAGGAGGAGGAGCTTGTTCACTTTATAGGCATATCCCTTGTTTTTTTTTTTTTGATTTTTGACAAAAAAGAGGTGGATGGGTTTTGAGAAGGGAACAGATGATAGCCAGATGATTTCGGAGAATTCGAATCGAGGCAATATACCGTGTGGGAATCTGGGTCGTACGACCGAACAAGCATCAAGATCAAGTGGATAACAACGTTCCCTTCGATAATTATATACGTCTAATTACGTTATAAATAAAGGTACGTAAGATCATTATTTATTTTAGAAATCACAAGTGGTTCAAGAAGGTCCGACGATATCTGCCAATTATGGATTATTCCGGGATCGGAATAATTTCAATTCGAAGTTATCGCTCGAAAGGCATGCTTCGCGTTCCATCCTTCGTATAACTTTTTCGAGCGAGGAGGATAGATAGATATCGAGTTGAAAGAACCGACGAGTTGGCAAGTCCAAGTGTTATTAAGGTGGTTTTCAAGGATTCTAAAAAAAAAGAAAAAAAAGAAAAGAAAGTGGAAAAAAGTAGAACGCCTGAATAAGGGATAAGAAAATATAAATTGTTCGCCAACATTTTTCAACGAGGATTCAATAAGAGAAAGGGACGAATAAGCTGCAGCGATATATATTTCTCCATTGTTTCTTTCAGAAATTTGAGTCTATCAATCCTTCGTTCAAACGTTTTCATCAACTTATGGTTATTTTTTTTTTTGTGACGTATTTTTATTTACACTCGTATCACGCAAATATTACGCGATATAAATAGACAGAATGGAACATTTTTCGGGCATCATTCTGTGCATACTGATACGATGGCTGGCTTCGAAATGTGCGAACATTGATTTTATCACAGTTTCGACGTTTCCAATAAATTCCACGAGGCAACAATTAATCATGCTCTGTTTGTTTTCACGTGCGTTGTGTCATCGATCGTTGTGTATCCCTTTTTCCCCTCCCTTTTTTTTATTATTCATTCCATTACGCGAATGGATGTAAATTCCTAGTAACGAAGTTATCGAAACGCGTTTTTCTGTTGCAACGCATCGATGCGAATATTGCATTAAAAAAAAATTTTTTTCCCCCTCCCTCCCTGATGAAATTGGGACAATATTAATCGTAAGATCGTTTAACCGATCCTTTCATCCGAGTGAAATTTTTATTTTCTTTTTCCCCGATGTAGATTAGTAGAGTAAATCACCACGAGGATTATCGGATTAATACGATTTAAATTACGAATAATAATAATAACAATAATCGAATGTTCTTTCGCGAGTGAGAATCGAAGAAAGTTTCTGACTTTTCACGTTTTCCTTGGTAAAGAAGAATCGAACGTCCGATCAACGTTCAACCAAGATATCAACAATTTTTCATGGATGTCTGCCAGCCTACGTGACCAAATTGCATTATCCACTGCAATT